AATAGGATATATACAGTAGACATGAATAACAACATAGATAGGGGTTAATTAAAGATCTTTCTTGGCTATCTGCAAAGCGTCAAGGAGATTAATAATAGCTTGTGTTATATGACATTCACATTACTGAGCCTGTAGTATATAGATGTGCATCTATCTACGCTTAATCTGTACGTACAGAACGTTGTTTCATACGATCCTCATTGGATACAGCTTGTGTGTTTGTAATGTCTACGACCTGCGTAGGTACGTCTTGGACGTTTTGGTTTTAATTATGTGCAGACGTAGAGACTACTGCTTGTGTAGGAACGTCGTGTACGATGGTGGGAAACAAGTCAGGGCTCACCTTTTTTAATCTGTCCACGTGTACTACGTCCGTAATATGTGTATCTGGTTTAAGTAATTTGAATTTGTTACCGTGCTCTTTGGCAATTATCAAGAAGGGTCCTGAAAATGTCGGCGAAAGTTTAGAGATACTTTCAGGTTCTCTTATCATGACAGCCTGTTTATGTTGCTCGTAAATAATTTCAGCGCGCAATGCTGCTAATTTTTTACGCACTTTTCCATGGATGTCAGTGAAGACGTTGATTTGCTTTTTTGCATAATCATCCATGGTATATACAGGTTGTGTAGGTCCTGTAAGTATGTTACAGTAGGGTGTGTCATACGGAGGCGATTTTTTTTTTTTTAGTTTGAAAAATCGGCCTATGGTATTAATGATGTAGTTCTATGTGCAGAATCATGTGATATCTTCAGATTTGAATAGTTTTTAATTTTTGCTAGGTAAATTTTAACTTGAAATCTTATGAAAATTCAGTATTCCCACCCTTTTATCAACACCACGAGTATTTTTGGTTCGTGCAGAAATACAATTTAGAAAGGCACTGTTGGCAAGTTTCATTGAATCTCAACCACCATTTACATAAAAATTGAAGATCTTAGCTTAGCTAAAGCACACATTCATTATAACAAGGTTAGGTACACATAGGGCTTATCTGCATGGATATTACACAGCGTGGAACACGGTGGGTGGTAGCCGAGCGATGTATTAGTCTCTGTCACATTAATATTATATAAATATGGGCTAGGACCAGGCCAGTCCTTTAGGAGGGGGCGAACAGGGGCGACCGTCCGGGGCCCCGCGCGTGTGGGGGCCCAGCGGGCCCCAGCACTAGACGCAGTGACCTCGGACACATTACCTGTTGACTGGTTAATCTGACCTGACGGCTTACGCCACCATCGCAACCGTTACCTTACCATCCATAGCGACAGTCCCATGGGGGTTGGTGGGGGTGGGTTCCTCTGACCGCATAATCTGACTCCATATATATTTTTTCTGGGGCCCCGCGGTGACTGAGTTGCCCCGGGCCCCGCACCCTCCTAGGGACGGCCCTGGCTAGGACATATATTCATTGTATACATTCGATCACCCAGACTATTGAGCATACTGCTACATAAGTATTTGTTCATTCACACCTTCTCGGGTGTACAGCCCATAAGTCTACAGACTCAACCCTCCGTGTGTGAGTAGGCTGTTTAGATAATGTCGGTGTTGAAGGTTCGGTTGCTCTCCAACCATCAGACTCAAGAGAGGACATCACAGTTTCCCCAGTTCACAGCTCGACACGATACTCTAAAGTCGTGTCGTGAGACCAGCTCTCCAGGCTGTACCTCTCTCAAATTATATCAGCTAATTGCAAGCTAATAGCTAATGCTCATTAGCCTGTCAATACCAAATAATTGTACAGACATGACTATCCAATATAACTAGAAAATCACCACGTGTGTTTACATTAAACCAAGGAACAACAAGTGAAGAGAACATTATCTGTGTGTTTTGTTTGACTTACAAGCGAAGATAATTACAAGTACAACCCAGGACAGCTGTGACGATTTCGACTATAAACCAATCTACGACTGTATCAAAGGCGACACGCCGTGAGATTACCTGATATCTCCCTCAGCTGCTTCAAAGGTACCAGCAACTAAGATACACTCATTCAGGCAAGTGTTAACAAGTGAGATAGTTCGATATCATACCTACGATAGTTTGTCCTATGCTAAATATTTCCAAAGTCAAATAATCATGTATATTTATTTTCTTGAATTAATTTATCCACCCATTATTTAACATGCACATTTATTATTGAAAACTTTTGTTATTAAATTTTATTTAAATATTTCGTGTCATATATATATATATATATATATATATATATATATATATATATATATATATATATATATATATATATATATATATATATATATATATATATATATTGCTACGTACTTATGTTCCTGATCTGGACACCCTACCAGGAACCGAGCGGTAACCGACCTCCACAGACTCGAACGTTTTGTTTACTTACATTTCACCTCATGTTTAGCCTATTGCTACTGCACTATTCAGTCTTACTCAGGTGTTCTACATCACTATAGGAGAGGAGTAGCAAACACAATGTTGGAATGCACAATACATTGCCAAGAAACACTAACAACCAGCAATAATCAAACATTAACAATCGCCACACTCATACAAGAGTTACATAAATATAAAACAATACTCTAACAATCACCCTATTCCTACCACATAGAAATATACATAAACATTAGAAACTTACATTACATTCTAAGCCAGAGTAACACAATTTGCTATCAACCACAACCGGCTCCACTGACCACCAGCTCCACACCCTCGTCCGTCCCGGAATGCTCTGCCGTCCTCCCTGGTGCACCGCTTCATTACAACCCCGTTCGAGATCTGATCAACACAGATACGGAGCTCCGGAGAGCCTATCCATGAGCAGTCAAACACGGGTCTATTATGGTCAGGTACCAGTCGGGTTCGCAAGCATATTCTAAATGAAGCTTCGTAATATATATATATATATATATATATATATATATATATATATATATATATATATATATATATATATATATATATATATATATATATATATATATATATATATATATATATATATATATATATGTGTATATATATATATATATATATATATATGAAATCCAGGAGAGTCCACATGTTCATTGCCCTTGAGAAACAGTGATATAACTAGTGCCATTTTTTACTGTACCATTTTTCCAAGTATCCTAACTTATAGTCTAAAAAAAATAAACTTTAAAATCGAAATATTGCCACAGTGTAATAAGTATCTACGGATAAACCTACTACAGTATTTAAGAAACATAAAAAACTAGAATAATAAAAATGAACAGAAAATGAAGGATGGAGAACAAATAAACAAGGGAGAAACGAAGAATGAAGGGAGATAATGAAAATAATGAATAAGTTAAATACAGGAAGAAAACGAAGACGAAGAAGTAAAGGGCAAAACAAAGCATGAGAATAAGGACTAAAAAAGTGACAAAAATTGAATAGAGAGAGAGATAGAGAGAGAGAGAGAGATGGTGAAGGGTCACAAAAAACGAGGATATTAATGCCTAGAAGACCAAGAAGAAAATAATAGGAAGGAAAATTTATAGACAGCTGGACAGACGCACAGGAAGACAGATGGAGATAGAGCTTTATCTTCTGTTACTGTCTGTCGGTTCTTATCTTATTTCTTCCTCTTTTATCATTATTATCCTTGTTCTTTAGAGTCAGAATAAGACAAAGACATACAAAAACAGACAATGAAAGATAATCAGACACACTGAAAAAACAATCAGAGTGAAACATTAATGAGTGTTACGAACCACGCCAAAACCCGAGTATGACTACTCTTAGTTACCACTCCACGGTTTCCCTTCTCCATATCCTGGTTGTTGCGTCACCTCCTCAAAGTCTTCTTCGTCAGCTCCAGTTCGATGAGAGTTCAGTTCACTCTGGGAAGTGACCACAGGATCACCTATCCTGGAAACCTACGGCACAGTGACTACCTACCGTCTTCTACAATACTCAGCCTTACTCGTCAGCCATCTCAGCTCCGCAATTAAGTATTTGTAATCTTATATTGCCTCCCCACCTCCACCTTGCTTCCAAATTGTTGTATGTTGTATAAATATGTATATACTGTTAATGTTTAGGTTAAGTATGGTTAAAGGTAAATTATAGAAAGCTGAATATTTTGTTAAGGAATTTATGGTACTTTATTATACATAACAAAAACTCTCATCCTTTGTCTACCCTTTTATCGTCAGATTGTCTTTGTTTTTTTGTTGTTGTTGCCTGTTGGGATCTGGGTAGACATTTAAACTATATTCTAAATCCCCAACTCGCAACAAGAGAGACTAAAAAAATCAATGTGTAGAAAAGCTGGAGGGAACTAAGAGTCACAGGGAGGGACCAGCTGGAGGGAACTAAGAATCTCAGGGAGGGACCAGCTGGAGGGAACTAAGAGTCTCTTGGAGGGACCAGCTGGAGGGAACTCAGAGTCTCAGGGACCAGCTGGAGGGAACTAAGAGTCTCGGGAAGGGACCAGCTGGAGGGAACTAAGAGTCTCGGGGAGGGACAAGCTGGATGAAACTAAGAGTCTCAGAGAGGGACCAGCTGGAGGGAACTAAGAGTCTCAAGGAGGGACCAGCTGGAGGGAACTAAGAGTCTCAAGGAGGGACCAGCTGGGAGGGAACTAAGAGTCTCAGGGAGGGACCAGCTGGATGGAACTAAGAGTCTCAGAGAGGGAGCAGCTGGCGGGAATTAAGAGTCACAGAGTGGGACCAGCTGGAGGGAACTAAGATTCTCAGAGAGGGACCAGCTGGATGGAACTAGGAGTCTCAGAGAGGGACCAGCTGGAGGGCACTAAGAGTCTCAGGGAGGGACCAGCTGGATGGAACTAAGAGTCGCAGAGAGGGACCAGCTGGAGGGAACTAAGATTCTCAGAGAGGGACCAGCTGGAGGGAATTAAGAGTCACAGAGAGGGACCAGCTGGAGGGAACTAAGAGTCTCAGGGAGGGACCAGCTGGAGGGAACTGAGAGTCTCAGGGAGGGACCAGCTGGAGGGAACTAAGAGTCTCAGAGAGGGACCAGCTGGAGGGAACTAAGAGGAAGTGTTGAGGTTATCTGTGTTATGTCTGGGCAACATCTTAAACGCCTCCTCCTCCTCGTTGATAATGTCTTGGGTGACTGTGTAAGTGGGGCGACCCTTCACACTCTCCCACACACGCTTGTAGGCTCTGGCACATGCCGGACTCACCACTCCCTTACTCACATCCTCAGGGCTGTTAGGACCTGCCAGGATTAACGAAGCTGTTATCTAATTTATCATTATTTATGAATCATCATTAGTCAATATCTAAGTTTCATGATAATTTTACTTGAATAAAATCTGACTCTAATGTTTACAATCAATGTAGAATTACCAGACAAAATCTATAGAGTTATATCAACAAGAACTTGCACAGATTAGCTTTATGCTAAAAAATAATTACTTTTACAGTACATGTTTGAATATTGGGTGGTAATTCTTCCAGGACAAAGACAAAATATACAAATGGCACTTTTCATGTAAAGTAAGTGAGAAGCTGCACGATACCGAGAGGAAAAACTGTTCTCACCTGTCAACAGAGAGATGAGAGAGCTGATTATAAATGTCAGCGCCACAGCAATTATGCCCGTGTAGCAGTAGGAGATCTCGTAGATAGTGTTAGATTGAGTTCTGTGGATGAAATGTGCATTATAATGAATCCATCTTTCAAATATAATACTTACTGTCATTTGTTAAGGCGACATTACAAACTAGCAATTTTTCAAACAGGCAAGTAAATGCAATAATAGATCAGGAGATTCCAGATATTGTTCCTGATTGTATTTTTACGAATTCTCTTAGACACTTTTACGTAGAGGCCCGTGACGTCACATATATGACATCACGCCACCGCTGAATTACCAGCGACATCCGAAACTTATAGCTCTTTATCTACTGTGTTCCATACCACCACCTTCCAATACTACCACCACTTACCTGCTACTACTACCACCACTTCCGGCTACTACTACCACCACTTTCAGTAACTAACACCTTCACTACAACCACTTCCTGTTACTACTACCACCACTTGCTGTTACTACTACCACCACATCCTGTTACTAACACCTTCACTACCACCACTTCCTGTTACTACTACCACCACTTGCTGTTACTACTACCACCACTTGCTGTTACTACTACCACCACTTCCGTCTACTAACACCATCACTACAACCACTTCCTGTTACTACTACCACCACTTACCTGCTACTACTACCACCACTTCCTGTTACTACTACCACCACTTCCTGTTACTACTACCATCACTTACCCCTACTGCTACCACCACTTCCGGCTACTACCACCACTCCTGTTACTACACCTGCTACTACTACCACCACTTGTTACTACTACACCACTTCCTGCTACTACTACCACCACTTCCTGTTACTACTACCACCACTTTCTGTTACTAACACCTTCACCACCACCACTTCCTGTTACTACTACCACCACTTTCAGTTACTAACACCTTCACCACAACCACTTCCTGTTACTACTACCACCACTTCCTGTTACTAACACCTTCACTACAACCACTTCCACTTCCTGTTACTACTACCACCACTTACCTGCTACTACCACCACCACTTCCTGTTACTACTACCACCACTTCCTGTTACTACTACCACCACTTCCTGTTACTTTTTTTTTCTTTTTTTTTAACGTGGCCTCCAGCCTCCCCCAATAGCCACACCTTCGCCACCATTTATTTACCTTAATATTAAATATCCTAATACATAAGAAGCTATCCTATCTGTGTTGAATTAGTTGAGCCGCAGATCTATGCGGCATTCAGTGACTGTAGCCTCATAGTCAATATCTGCAGCAGTTGTCTGAGTAGGGGCAGAAGCTCTCGTTCCCCTGAGGCAAAGCAAAGCCGACCGAAGGAGAGAGAAAGACAGTCGACATCTCATTCAGGCTGTGACATAACTTCTGGGCTGCTGCTTCTGTTCGGAGATCAACTCCGCGAGTCTGGCGTAGAAACATCTTGCACTTGGGCCCATCCCACCAGAGGTTGTGAACACTAGAGGAGTGAAGCTGCCTTGATCAACGTTTTGAATTCTCTCCCCATATGCCCTTCTCTTGTCGTTCTCGTTCCTCCTATGTGCAGCATCGAGAGCTAGGTTGCGGTGACATGCGGCCATGGGATCAAAAATCCTGATGTCGAAGAAAGCTCGCTGTCCCCGCGTCCAGAATCCTCGAGCACTGACGTCCACGCGGGCTTTGTTAGATGTGTTTGAAGTCCTGTGTTGGAAGATCTCGCCATCCAATGGAAGGAGGGTCGGTTCTACCATGACGTCCCGGCAGATTTCCTTCAACATATTTGCTGTGAGATCCCTTACCTCGTCATGCCTCATGCATATGAAGCCCCCCTTCTTGCACACCATGGCGTGATCGCCATCATAGGAAGAGCCACACACGCATTGGGAGGGCAATCCTTCTACTGGCCAACCGTACCTTAGAGCAATGGCATCTGTAAATTCTTGTTTATTGAGACTGAAACCATTTGCCCTTATCGGTAACGTAGTTAACCAGTTCGAGGCGCCCACCTCCTGCGCTATAGCTACTTTTTTTTTCAAATTTTCTGGAACCTGCAGCAATCGTTGCTGCAACTTTTCATTTTGGCAGTGCTGTCGATCTGTCGTAATGGACCTACGAATCTTATTTACTTCGCTGGTATCCACTTCCCCTGTTGCATTCTGGGCTATTATGTGGTCCGTGAGGGCTGCCGTGAGCTTAAGTGAATTTTGATGTTCAGTGGCAGCAATCTCCTCTGGATTAGTTAGTCCCATCCCTCCCAGTCTTGGTGGAAGTGCAAGAAGTGCTCTTTCTGCTGGGGTTAAGTCAGGGTGTTTCACTAGTTTGGGAATGAACTTGACACTGATAGCTTCTTCCAGAGGGTGGAGGAGGGGTCCGATCTCAGGGATGGTACGCATCAGGTAGTTCCAGCGATGCTTGACTCCATGGGTGAATGCTGCAAAGGCCGCATGTGGCTCTGTGATAGCAATCTCAGACAGAGCTTGGATTTCACTAACCCTCTCATTCACCTTTCCCGCCACGTACTCGGTCTTGAAGTCCGTAGTGCCAATTACTGCGCCTAGATGTCTTTGGCCGTCCTTAGTTATTTTGACCTCACTTCCGCCAAAAACCTCCAATGCTCGTTCATAATGTTCTGGCTTCACGATGAGGAAGGACTTGCTGGCGTTTGGGTGGTACCCTATTTGTGGACCTCGCGATGTTACCAAGTCCCACCACTTTTTGATGCACTCCACTTTTCCTGCTCCTGTAAGGTCATCAGCATATGCCACTTGTTTGACCCCAGTTGTTTCAAATTTTATTTCTTGTTGGAGCACTGATAGGCCAATTGCATACATTGCCATTGCAACGGGGTCCCCCTGTGTTGTTCCCTCGGTCGACTGTAGGATGGTGTCACCTCATAGAGCCTTGTTATTTACTATTTAGAGGTCTGAAGGATTCCTATACGAATTTTCAACATATATCGCAAAGCTTGGACACTTGATCTTGATGTTGTGCAGTGCAGCCTTGCGGTTAAGTATGTTGAATGCGTTTGAAGCATCCACCAGGAGAACGGCCTCACAATCACGCTGCTCAAATATCAATCTCATGGCGTGAATGGCAGCCTCCCCACCAGCCTGGTGGCCAGCACACACTTGTAGGTTCCCTGCTGCTGCCCTGACATCATCCTTTACCACCTCCATTATGCACTTTCCGATGATCCGCCTCAGCACTTCCTCCACCCCAATAGGTCTACATCCTGGTTTCTTTTCCAGAGGAATAAGGCGGCAGGCCGTCAGGGCCTGGAGGTGATGGCAGCAAGAGGATGCAAGCTTTCTTGCAAGGGCGGCAATGGCAGTGCAGAGATCGCTTGCTACAGGGCCAAACTTGTTTGTGCTGAGGATGACTCTCCAACCGTTTGCATCTAGACCTGAAGGGCCGGCTCCTCCTCGAGTCTTCAGTGCCTTTTTCCACACCATCTCTCCTGTTATTTTCTCGAACAGGACAGCATTTGGTGGGATATAGTCACCCTGGAACCTGATGCCCTCATCTTCGCTTGCAGGGGGATGTTTCACTTTCAATAGTTTTAATGTCTCTCTGTTTATTGGCATCACCTCACCGGAGGATTCCTCTGTGAGAGATCTTACCGCAAGAGACACTTTTCCCACACGCATTTTGTGCTTAGCCTTTGTGTGTGTCCTCTGACAAAATAGATGTGGTATTATTGCCAGTATTTGAAGAGCTAGGGGGGCGAGGAAGCGGTCCTGAGTGTAATCAGTCATGAAGCAAGTCATCTCCCGAATCATTTCTTTGATGGCCGCATACTTGGGTGGTTCAAATAAGTTAGCGGGCGACCACTTGACAATTTCTGAGTACGTTTCTTTGACCCATATGTCTGCATTTTCCATCGACATGCCATTCCACTGAGGTGGCTGTCTCTCATTCTCCTCGTGGACACCTGCTACTAAGGGAGCAGCATTTGTTAGTACTACATTTTCGGGTTGAGTAGACTCACTGCTATCATTTCGGATATCATCGGGTAGTTGGGTCCCGGCGATATCCACTGTGGCCACCTGTGTCGGCTCCCTGCGACGTGGGTTCCGACACTGGTCTAGCTTCCTGCAATCCACACATGGTCGGTTGTTTCTCGCACAAACACAATTTGTGCAGTTTTGGTTCGGGCTAGCACAGACGCAGCAAAGAATGTTACCAGGCATAGTGAACAGCACCTTGGGCGACGGTTACGTCCGCCTCCGAACATCTGATTTAGTCCCAGGCACAAGATTATACTGGTTCTTATGAGGGAAGGGCGGAGAGGTGACAGGCTGGACTGCTGTGTCCAGGTAGTAGGGGCATAAGTGCGCGCGTGGGTGTGTAGGCTACCCCCCCTAATAGCGACCATCCATACATCAGAATGATACACTATGGACAAGAGTTTGTCACACCAGGCACTTGTTTATATATCCTTGGCACAAATAACCACTATTTATATGGTCTCACTGGTGTAATATCAGTTATGTATACTCACTTGGTTCGTCGAGACCCTATATTTAGTGTCCGTTACTATGGTGGGGGGGGGGGGGCGACCGCATGGGCAGCACTCTCGGCCCCATAGGAGCGATAGTCTCGGGACCACCCCTGTCAAAGTAGGCCTAACGACACTGACCTTGGCGCCGAGCCTCCTCATTATCCCACCACCGACCCAGCACAGGTCACCACTCACTTGGAGAACGCCGGTGAACACACGGAATATTTACAATTTATGCCGTAAGGGATGAGAAGAAACCTTGGGTGGCAATGCTTAGGGTGACATCCGATATTCACGGACACATTGTCAAATTCCCGATCCCACACAACGAGTATGTCCCCACCAATAACACTTTAGATCAGGGAGGACGTTCCACCACACCCACGCCGCGCTGGCCGCCTACTTCCTGTTACTACTACCACCACTTTTTGCTACTAACACCTTCACCACCACCACTTCCTGTTACTACTACCACCACTTCCTGTTACTAACACCTTCACTTCAACCACTCCTGTTACTAACACCTTCACTTCAACCACTTCCTGTTACTACTACCACCACTTACCTGCTACTACTACCA